ACATGGAGATTGATTAACATATTTTGATGAGGAATGGGTCAGAAAAGWAATCAGGGAAGAATTTAAAAACTTTAGAAACAAATGAACACAGAGATACAACATACAAGAATCTCAGGGACACTMTGAAGRCACTTATGAGAAGAAAGTTTATAGCATTGAGYGCCTAAACAAAAATAACAGAAAGATTCCAAATAAATAGTTTAATTTCACATCTCAAGGCCTTAGAAAAGTATTAACAAACTAATTTCAAAACTAGAAGAAGGCAGGAAATACTTAAGATTTGAGCCAAAGTTAATGAAATTGATAATAAAAAAAAACTCAACAAATCAATGCAACAAAGAGTTGGTTCTTTGAAAAGATAAAACAAGATTGATAAACCCTGAGCCATACTAACCAAAAGAAAGAAAATGCAATTCAACAAAATTCAGATGAAAAAGAAGGTATCACCCAGACATTGCTAAAATCCAGAGGATCATTAGGAACTGTTTTGAAAACTTATACTCCAATCAAGTGGAAAATCTAGAAGATAATGACAAATTTCCTGAAACATATGACTTAGCCAAATTTCCTTGTATGTCAGACACTATATTCTAAAACTATTTGCAAGCAACTTTAAGTTGASCCTTTTCCTCCTAGGAAATACTATACTATAGTATTTATAGTATAGTGTAACACTAATCAACTCAAATCTTCTGTCATCTCTTTTTTCCYGGATAAATATAAATATGAGAAAATTGGTTAGTCTTTTTTTTTAACTTGGCCATAGTTTGATAAACTGAAGCACACACAAAAAAATGTTCAATCTGGTATTGCTGCAGATACTATGTATTATTTCTATAAATGTTTTATCTTTTTATGTAACCCACCAAGTCATAGGATAATGACGTAGCAATTTGGCCTAAAGATCTACTACTCATCTGTTCTGAAATGTCATGCACAGTAAAAATGTATTGGGGGATTATTTTGGCTATTCTTCTGTCACTATAAAAAACAGGGTGCTTATAAGATGCTTCTGTGATGGATTTAATGTCTTTAAAAGGCAGACGGTGCTTCAGGAAATGTCAACTAACTGTCAACAGGACTCCTCTGATACACCTGCTCATGTCCCCATTTATTCTCTCACCACCCCACCTCTCCTACAAAATACCTACTCCCTTTTCATGATGACACCTCGATTCATCAGAAAAATCAATTGAATGTGAAAATTATAAATTTTTTAACAGGAAAATCATGCAAAGAGATATCACTTGGATTCTGAAACAGCTGGAATTCTTCAGAAATGCAAAAAAAAAGAAACTCTTAAAATTATATTATGGGCAAAATGCTCATTGAACAAAATCATGATTAAATGTTGGACATCCACTGAAAATGCAGTGGGAGTCTTCATCCTTTGAGTTCTTTCAACATAGTTTAAAAATAGGCTCAGTAATTTGCTGGTAAACACAATTCACAATAGCTCAACTGTGGCACCAAACCAGATGCCCTTCAGTGGATGAATGGATAAAAAAAATGTGGCATACATATGCAATGGAATTTTACTCAGCAATAAAAGAGAATAAAATCTTGGCATTTGCAGGTAAATGGATGGCGTTGRAGAAGTGCTAAGTGAAGTTAGTTAATCCCCAAAAAATAAAATGCTGAATGTTTTCTCTGATATAAGGAGGCTGACTCATAGTGGGGTAGGGAGGGGGGAGCATGGGAGGAATTGATGAATTCTAGATAGGGAAGAGGCCAGGGGATTAGCAAGAATGGTGGAATGTGATAGATATCATCATCCAAAGTTCATGTATGAAGACATGAATTGGTGTCAACATATTTTATATACAACCAGAAATATTAAAAAATTGTGCTGTATATGTGTAATAAGAATTGTAATGCATTTCACTGTCATTTACTTTTTTAAATCAATAAAAAATTTGCTGGTAAACATGAAAACACAACAAATAAGTTGCTAATGTTCTTTCCAGTTCTGAGAGTCAACAAACAGAGATTTACAGATCATTTTACTCTTCTTAAAAACTTAGAATTTAAAAGAATGTGATGAAAGTTTAAACTTCTATAGTAAAGAGTTAACTAACGTGAATTCATTTTCATTTCTTATTTGTCAGTTAAAATTTTTAATTAACTCTTTCTAAAATAAAATTAACTGTAGGAGCTCATTTTTCTAAAGTTGTTCTAGCTATGCATGTGTCTTGCAATATACATATAAAGAGTACCTCCGAAATGATATTCACCAAATTTTGCCAATGGTTATGTCTGTGTAGAGGAATTAGCGTGTTTGTTTTTAAGTCTTTTCTCTTGCACTTTCATATGTTGCTTGAATTTTTATAATAAGCCTTACTATTTTTACCAAAAAAAAAACAAAAAATGTTTTGTTTCTTTTAAAATCCAATGGCATCCCACACATTAGAAGTTAAAAGGAAAATTGTTGTGCAATAGAACTAGAAAAGATTGTCTCTCCCAGTCCTCTCAAATTTCACCACTAGTTTTTCCTCACCCTGGTCCTGTTGTATAATACAAGAAACATTTTGCTCAAGGTCTACTCCTATAAATCAAAACTCCCACACACTAATTTACATAAAATGAGATGTGGGCCAATTTATGGGGCTAATAAGTCACTGCCCCTCAGACACGCCTGAAGTGATCAGGGAGGTGATGGGTTTCATTGTGGATTCTGGTGAGAGTTTAGGGATTAGGAGTTCAGCCTGACCCTTGCACAGACTGGGGTGTACACTATTCTCCTTCATAAGCTGGGTCCATGGCAACAGGAGTAGAAGCAACCACAACCCTGAGTCAAAACCAGCAATCAGGAACCTTTCATGTCCATCAGAACATAACTTCCTACCACACCTCCAACAATCTCTGTGTTTCCCTTATTTATTCCACTTTTATCATATCTCCCTGTCTTAGTTTTCTGTTGCTATAACAGAATACCTGAGATGCTTGTATCTTACAGTGCCAGAGACTGGGAAGTCCCAGGTTGAGGGACCATGTTTGGGGAGGGGCTTCTTATCCATAGGGACTCTCTGCAAGGTCCTGAGGCAATTCAGGCTATTCCATAGCAAGAAGGACACACAAAAAGCCAGAGCCAGACTGGCTTCTATGACAGATTCACTCTCAAGATAACCCACTAACCAAGTAATCCATTAATTCATGGATTAATCCGCCCGTGAAGGCAAAGCCCTCATGACCTCATCATCTCTTAAAGGTCCCACCTGGTCCCACCTCCTAACCCCTAATGATGGGGATTAAATTCAGCCTGAGTTTTGCAGGAGATGTTAAAAACCACAATTCAAACCACTCCCTTCGGTCTTTTCCTCATGTCAGAGATGCAAGTGGCCACAGTCACTCCCCAAGCTTCTTTTAGTCATGGTTACATTTTTTTCCATCACGTATATAGTGAGATGAGAACAATCCAGAGAACTTTCCTTGGTAGGTTTTGTTGCAGGAGCAGGAGGCACAGAGCTGTGGGCTTTGATGGCTTTACTTCCAATTGGAAAGATGGCCTTGGTGGAGGACTTGTGCACTCCCCAGAGAGGCTTTTCCCTCTCATTCTGTAATTCACACTCCTAACAGGAGTAAGAAGTGATGGCATTTGAGGTCCTGAGTTAAAACCTCAATCACTAAAAGGTCATGACAGAGTTAGCAACCATTTATAAAACAGCCCCAAGAAACTAGACTTGGGTGCTTCGAAGGTGGAAGACTGAAGCTTTTCCAGAAGGCTTGTAACAAATGTGGCATACACAGTGGTCGGTGAAGAGTAGGGCTGGACCCAGTCCAGACACAGGAGGTGGCTGGGCCCAGTGGATCTCCTCCACTGGAGGGTCTTGGATCCAGATGAGGCTGTTTCCTACTATAAGGGGCACCCAATTCATGCASGAGAACTCAGAAAATGATTGTTAAAGGCGGTTAACCCTTGAACTACCGGGAAAGCAAGGGTTGGTGACTTTCAAGGCTGAGGGGACGGCACAAACCAAGGCAGTGACACCTACAAATTTCTGTGCTCATTATACTGTTCTTGCAAATCAGCTCTGAATCATTTGCCTCTATGAGCCCTGGTTCTTTGACTGTGAAATGGGGACAATAACACTTGCCTGGCTACAGTAAGATTTGTAACAAATAAAGAATAGCAAATGGCTACGTGCACTGAGAAGTCCCATTATCATTATGAGAGAGAAGTGCCATACAGGACCCCGTGGTGACTCAACCCAGCAACAGCACCATGTAGCAGAATCCCACTGTGGCTTTACCACCAACTCGAGATTTCCCTTGACATATCCCCCTTTGGGCTTCAGTTGGCCTCTTCTGTAAAATTAGTGGCACAGAAACCAGGAACACTAACGTCTCTTCTGATGCCAACCCTTTACTCCTAAGTCCCTTTTAAATCTTGTCACCAGTAACCAGCCCGGCGCGCCTGCCCCCAGACTACGTCTTTGTTCATTCCTAACCTTTACCTTGGCAGATTCCCCAAGCATTCCAACAACCCAAGGCATGCTTCCTGCTTTGCACCACCCCCTCTGCAGGTCACAGAGGCACAGACGCCAGCCCTTCCAGGGCTCAGCCAGGGACAGGCCTATCAGGCAGTTGCCATCAGCTGTTCCTCCCAGGGTTCAAGCGAAGTCCTGGGCAGAGGCCAGAGTTTGGTTTAGAGGTGCGCTGGGATGAAAGGCCACTGGAAGTGGAAGGCTCGGTCATTCGTTCATTAATTACRACTATAATTGAAGGTTTGTTCTGAAGAGTGATTCCTTTGAAATTACTTTCCATCAAACAGCAACTGTCACAAAGGAATCAGATATTCGGAGCCGTCTCTATTTCCTCAGCATGCGTAGTTTTTTTTCTAGGACTTGAGACTCAGTTCCAATCTGGCTCCACCTTTATGAATCTCTCTCACTCTTGCTTTAGAGGTAATTTGTTTATCTGGGTGTGAGTGTGGGTGCGAGCGCGCTCTTAATGTTTCTTTTTTATAAAAAAGAAAACCTGTACCCTACCAAATACCCTGAGTGTGGGCTTTAATCTGGCCTTTTTCGGATGAATGGGACAAAGGAAAAATTCCGCAGGGAGATTAGAAGGACACCTGAGACGAATACCCACCTGATGACATGGGCCACACCTCCCGGGTTCAACTGGAAGGGAGGAAGCAAACTGGTACATTGATGTGGTTCTAAACAACAACAGTGTGTGCTGGCCCGAGGGCACTTTGGGATTGACCAAGAGGAAACACATGTTGCACAATGATATGATCTTGCTGGTACAGTTGTCAGAGAAGGGAACTCCCACAGCAAAGGGCATAAAACCATCCAGGGCTGTCTGGGGCGGCTCAGTTCTGTGGAGCCAGGGAGCGGAGCAGAGCCCAGCCCAGCCCCATACACAGATGGGACCATGAACTCCAGCCGCAGCGTTAGCCAAACCCCTTCAGCCGTTCTCCATGGCCCCAGAGGTGCCAGGACCCGGCCCGGGAGCTTTCCCCGGGCCCCCAGCRTGCACGGTGGCGCGGGGGGTGCCCACATCTCCCTTTCCTTCACCACACCAAGCTGCCTGCCTCCTGGAGGGTCTTGGGGGTCTGGCAAAGGTGGCTCCCTCCTAAGTGGAAATGGGAAAGAGACCATGCAGAACCTCAATGACCGCCTGGCCTCCTACCTGGACAAGGTGCGCGCCCTGGAGGAGGCCAACATGAAGCTGGAGAGTCGCATCCTGCAGTGGCATCAGCAGAGAGACCCTGACAGCCAGCAGGATTACTCCCAATACGAGGAAAACATCAGCCACCTGCAGGAACAGGTAAGGCGCTGTGTGACCCTGCAGCTTCTAGGTGGGGCTTCACCGCCAGGGCAAGGAAAGATCAGCTCAAAAGACAACTTCCAAGAAAGTAGCAGTGATTCAATCGCTCACAAAGATATTTGAGGCTATCTTCTTATTAGACCTTAAATATGGACTTGGGAAAGTCTGTTTGGTATAAATGATCTCCTGTGGGTCAGTTACGTAGAAAATGAAGGCAGACAAAAATGATAGAAGTGTTACAGACTTTTTAAATAAAAAGTGAGACTCTGATATTTCACACAATAAGAAAAAAATCTAAGAAAACAAAATGAGGCAGCCAGCCACCCGTGCTGTATCACTTATGATCAACAATGGCACCGTAATGATAAGGGCTGGTATGCAGGTTGCACGCTCCATACACAAGGCACAGGAGAATATTTACTTTCTCATTACATCAGTTCTGCYCCACCTCAAATTCCTGGCGACAGTGTGGCGATCCATCAACAAAAAGCTGAGTTACATTCTTTTGGAGATCATGCCTGAAAGCCGTCACTCTACTAGCAGATATATCATCGTGACGTCCCTGAATATTCTTTTTTTTTGCAGGGGAGGGGGTTGCTAGATGATAAAGTTGCTCATGGTTCTGAGAATAGAATATTGCTAGGAGAAAATAGTAAAATGAACATAGTTTTTAAAATACAAGAGTTGGGTGGGTATGGACATTCTTCAATAAGTAAGTAACAAGTCAAACAAACATCGGAAAAGCAAACTCATGAGTTCTGGGTCACTTGGCTAGAAGTAGAGGGAACCTAGTCATCTTACCGGTTATTCTTTTTAAAGCTGCTTAACTTCCCTCTTATATAAAACAGTCCCAGAAAATCCCTGTAAGATCATGACTTAACCTCCCCCAGGAAGGGCATCACAGGCTCCCGATATTTATACCATGTTATTTCCCAACACTCAGTCATCCTTGCAAGCATGTAGAAAGGACCGATCAAGATAATATAAATCTGCCCTTGTAATGAACCCTAATTATTGAATAATCAGCCTAATAACTGACTGTGTAATTACCTTAACTATATAGTATATGGTTGTCTTTACCAAAAAAACAAGGTGACTCAACAGTCCTCCTCATGTTTCTTCATTTATTAAAGTTGCTTTGGTTTGAGAAGAGAGGGAATAGAAGACACTTGCCATTGGAGAGCTGAGGACATGAGTCCCAGAAGAAATGTGAAGTTAGACCTGAGCACAGGATATATTAGCCAACAGAAGAGAGAAGGGAGGAAAGGAAGAGGAGCGAGGGAAACAATTAGTGAGCACTTCTTGTTCCCCAGGCATCGTGTTGAGTGTTTAATATAAATATTTGTGGTAAGGGCTTTCTGCAATGATGGGATTGTCCCATGTCATTTGATTTAATTCTGACAGAGCTCTGTTAGGAAACTAAAACTTATAAAAGTGAAGTAGCTGCTGGCAAGAGGCAGAGTGGGATGCTAACTCAGATCTGTTTGCAAAGGCTTCATGATTTCCTTGTCATCCTGGGGTTGACTAGCCGACCTCATGCAAAACTGATATTTAGATAGGACTAATAAGTAAAATTCATCACATTTGCATTGTTATTCAAAACATTTTGTATGCATCTCATTTAATCATCACAGCTCGGTGAAGCAGGTATTTTTATTTCAACYGAAGGAGACGGAGACTGAGTGTCTAAATTCTTTGGAATACAATCAAGAAGAGTAAGAAGGTGTGATTATGAGGAGGGAGCAACTAGTCCACCCTCAGATGGYCCAGAATTCTGGGTTTTAAGATTAAATAGGAAGCTTCTTCAGCTTCAAGTTCCACTCTTTTTTTCTGAAGATGCATTTTCCTCCAGCTTTGAAGAAAGCAATGCTTTCTGTCCTGACTTCCCCCATCTGCAAGTGAGGCCCAAAGAGATCCCACAGTAACGTGAGTTTGGCACTATCCTGTTATTTAATGAAATACTCGAGTAGACATAGCACTCTGCCCCACTTTGGAGTGTTAAATATTACTCAAAAAGTCTATAAGATATTGAATTCAAAAATTAATCCAATCCTTTTGAAACACGGAATGGGACATACTCCTAGGAATACTCTACATAAAACTTCCTGAGTGATTCTCAATGGTGCTATATTTAGCATTTTGGATTATGGACAAAAATTCTATTTTCCTCTCCCTGGGAGATCACACACCCTGGAGCAACAATGTTATGCTAGCACACCAACTAGATTTTAAAAGAATGAACTCAGGGCTTTGGGGAGAAGCCAGGTGATTATTACAACATACAATGTAAAACCTGTGCCTCATGTATTATTTCTCAATCCATCGTCATCCATTTCTGACCATGTCTCAGAAATAGTGGCATATTGTATTACCATATCTAGTAAACCTGGACCGTGGAAAATAGTTTTCAATCTGTTTTATATTAAGTACATTTCAGAGCCTACATTCATGAACCACGATAATGCTAGCTGGTGGGTTTTACAATGAATATATTATTGCTTTAACTCAGAAAAGTCAAATAAACCTGCCTGTGGTCTTTTAGTTTTTCTGATTCTGTGTTATATATAAAGCAAAATTTCCTAGTTGTCCTAGGAGTGTGTCAGATAGAATAAATCAACACACAGGAAGTAAGGCTTACCTCAGGATCCCAGGCTTTGGGGTATGGAGTTATTCCTCATTTTGTATGAGTTTAGAGAATGCAAAGAGTAAGGGTCATAGAAGAAAAGGCACTGGTAAGGATGTGACAAAGGAGCACTGTGGACGGGAGACAAAGAAAGATCTGCAGTTTCCTTTTTTAAAGCAAAAGAAAAAAATCATAGGACCATTTGGAATCCCACAAAGGGAAAAAAGAAATTTAGTGAGGAGCCAGCCCGGCAATGTCCACCATGAACAGCAAAAGTTGGAGGATGTGTTGCAACACATAAAACTTGACACTTTGTCCGATGCACACATCGACTCTAATTATGAAAGTTGTAAAATTATAAAAAGAAAACTGTACAATTGACATTTTTCTGAACTAATTCCATTTCAGCTAATTTTTCAGTGTCTATACAATATGCCCAGAATATGCTGTTTAACACCATTATTTTGTTTAATACCTTCTAATTCTCATGATTCTTTGATGAAGTGGCTATTATTCTTGCCATTTTTATGGATGAAGAAACTGAGGCTCAGCCAAACTTACTTTGGTGCTGGAGCAGAATCCCAGGTCTGCAGTTGGAGTGCAGATCCAGGGTTCTCACCACTTCTGAAAGCACCTATTGTGCATTCATGATCCCAAATTCCAAGTAACCAGTGGAGCTTTCAATAGGACCAGAGTTTTAAAAGGTACCTTTGTATTGAGCTGTAGTTTTGTCCTAAGAAAATGCTTTCTAAATAAAGGGATTAGCTGTAAAAATACAATGGCAATATCACAGGATTCTCTGACTCCAACTAAATTGTAGAAGTTTAGAGCAAGAACCCCTAAGGTCACCTATTTGTAGTGTAAACTTTTTTTTTTTTTAAGAGAGAGGGAGAGAGAGAGAGAGAATTTCTTTTTAATATTTATTTTTTAGTTCTCGGYGGACACAACATCTTTGTTTGTATGTGGTGCTGAGGATCGAACCCGGGCCGCAMGCATGCCAGGCGAGCGCACTACCGCTGAGCCACATCCCCAGCCCCTAAACTTCTTATTTAACAAATTGTGAAACTGAAGCACAGGGAGTGAAATGTCTCACCCAAGACCACGTGAATGGTCAGAAAGAGAGAAAGAACCAAAGGACAACTCCAGTTTGGGCACAATACTTGGCTAATACTTGGTACCAAAGTGGTAGCATACTTTGGAAAAATGAGGTTATCTTCCATTCCATTTCTCCAAGGACAGTGACATACATCAAATGTTCACTATTTCTATGATTATAACACAYTATATACACAATTGTTCAAGCAAACACCTCCAACAACAATTTTTTTATGTTTTTTAGTTGTCAGTAGATCTTTTATTCATTTATATGTGGTGCTGAGAATCRAACCCAGTGCCTCACACATGCTAGGCCAGCGCTCTACCACTGAGCCACAAGCCCAGCCCCTCCAACAACATTTTTTAAAGCAAACAAAAATCTATATAAATATCTAGTGAAAGTCTTTAACTGGAAGCTTTAACCCCAGAGAAGCTTATTAAGCATCTTCATTAGCTGGTAAAGAATTAGTTCAGTTAATGTTTTAATAGCTACCAGTGGGGCRTTCTCATGATGGACTAAATTACAAACATGGACACATGCCTGCGAGTTATGTACGTGGCTTTAGCACTCTGGGGGAAAAAAAATGTGTCATGTGATTATGATAATGAAATGCATTTAAAATCAGGGTTAGTGTTGCTCAATAACACTGATGGGAAATGTGAACATATCACAAGTAAGAATGATGGGCATCTAAAATCATCATCATTGATTGTGCTTCAGGAGAGTGGAGCTAATATTCACAATAAGAAACAACTCAGAGCCTAAGTTCCTTTTAACATCTCCTCATGAGGGACCGGAAGCAAAACCACAGGACCTGTTCATCACCCTGAAAGCTGAAAGACATTCTGAACAATCTCCGTCCTTCCTCTTCCAAAAACCATTCTTTAAACAGTTGCGCCAACCCCAGCCTGACAAGACTCAATGTGAAAAAAGGCAGGGAAACCAGCTGCAGATCTTGTCCTGGCTATAAGATCATCTGTGCTTTGTACCTAGTCCGTGCTCAGTAAATACGGGCTGATTTGATTCTCWTTGTTCCACTGAGGAAAAAGAAGTTGTCTTTGCTGACAAGTCACAAACCCAGGAAATGAGAGGGCAGACATACAGCTGTCAGAGCCAGGCAMAGTAGTGCACACCTGTAATCCCAGCAACTCAGGAAGCTGAGGCAGGAGAATCCGAAGTTCAAAGCCAGCCTCAGCAACTGAGTGAGACCCTGTCTCCAAATTAAAAAATAAAATAAAATAAAAAGGGCTTGGGGTGGTTCAGGGATAAAGCGTCCCCTGGGTTCAATCGCTGGTGCCAAAAATAAAAAAAGAGAAAGAAAAGAAATGCAGTTGTCAGTTGTGGGTCTGCCCGACTGAAAAAATTCTCGGGGTGTGTTTTCCAGATAGTGGACGGCAAGATGACCAATGCTCAGATGGTTGTTCTCATCGACAATGCCAGAATGGCAGTGGATGACTTCAGTCTCAAGTAAGTTCCTTTTTCACAGGGTTTTGTGGGGKTTTGTTTATTTCCTTTACAAAAGGAAAACTCACCTTGCCTTTAGTCACACCTGAAATCTCACTGGGTTATAATTAAAAGCTGAAATAACAACAAATGCCATGTACAGTACTTGAAAGGACCTTTGTTTCAACAAACCAGACATAAAACATAGTATGGGGGGGGGGGAATCTGACTATGAACCAAGAATTAGGTGATGCTAGAGTTATTCATTTTAAGTATGATAATGTTATTGCGCTTACTTTTGAAAGATGCATTCTGAAGCATACAGGATTAAAATGTCATATATCTATAAGTCTATAATTCACTTTGAAAAAATATAGCAATTAATAATGATGAAGCAAGTTGGCAAAATACTGACCATTGCTCAAGATAGGTGGTGGGCGTATGGCAGTTTATTATCCTTTTCTCTCTACTCAATTAAAAAAATGGATATTGAGTCACTATGATAGAAAAGTAGAGATTTGTCAAGAGCTTTGTAATGTTTATTTWAAAAAAAWWAARKTTYMWTTTWAAARGKWAAAAAAAAAAAGAAAAGTAGAGTGTGAAATCGACATACAAAGGACATCCTGTGTGTATTCATTTGTTCTGATGAAACCTAAAAAGTCAGATATTCACATCTCAACGAAGGCAGATCCTTACCAAGCCCATGGCCTTCCAACAACAGGTGTGTTCTTCCCTTCCTTCCAACCAAAGGTATGAAAATGAACACTCCTTTAAGAAAGACTTGGAAATTGAAGTCGAGGGCCTCCGAAAGACCTTGGATGATCTGACCATTGTCACAACAGACYTGGAACAGGAGGTGGAGGGAATGAGGAAAGAGCTCATCCTCATGAAGAAGCACCATGAACAGGTAGGACTGCCCAGGGACCCCCAGTGCTCAGCTGAGCTCTCTCCCTGCACGGTTCAGGGTGATCCGATAACCAAAGAGGAAAACACCCGAATGCCAGTCCTGTTGACCTTATGCCCAAATAACTATGTAGAATCACATGAGTACCTCATTTTTCAAGCTTCAAGGTTACCTACCCAGATGTSAAACACAACCACCAAAATTAACAATGACTTGGCCACACAATGTTTACCTTGACCTTTWTGTTAATATGATACTGTAAGAATGAATGTGTGAGGCTGAACTTTCCTGGCCAAACATGCGGCAAATTGGAGGACAGTAGAATAAAGAGAATCTGCTATGAACCAACGTAAAATGACTAATGGCAAAAATTAAGGATCCCAATTTCTGGAAGTATTTAGCTGACTTTTAAAGAGTTAGCATTCATTTCAAGTCCCTGAGACTGATAAAATGATAGAAAAACAATCCCCATTTTTGGCAAACAACATTGCTTCCGAACATCAAAGAGCCCAGTTTCCTAAGAGCTGGTTAGACGATGATTATTAATTAAACCTTTCTTRCAGCTGCTTGGCTTTTAGGAAATCCTACAGAAGCATACACAGAGATCTTAGAAGCCTCTACACCTTTCAATTACTGAACTCCACCTTCTGGTTACTGAACTGCTTCCCAAAAGCTTTGGTCTAAAACCTAGAATATTCCATTGCTTAGCTGTACAGTCACTTCACCAATGAACAATTCCTGCAGAGGAATTAATATTTTAGGTAGGCATAATGGTTTCTGAAATATTTTCCAACAGAGATTAAGTCAGTAATTACAGAAGACGTTTGATTACCTGTCTGTGCTATTCTTTATTTTATAAAATTATTAGGGAGGGAAAAAAGTAAATAATGTTTTGTCATCAACAATAATGGAGAAACCAAACCACATGGGCAAAAGTGTAGCAACCACATCAGCTGAAATGTTTTCAAGATCCATTTACCTCTGCCAATCAACACAAATTCCAGCCTTCTGGTTGGCATAGCTGGTTGATATTTTTTTTTCTCTATTGTTAAACAGGAACTGAGGGATCATCATGTGCCAAATGACTTCAATGTCAATGTGAAGGTGAATACAACTCCGGGAGAAGATCTGATCAAGGTCTTGGAGGATATGAGGCAGGAATATGAGCTTATAATAAAGAAGAAGCATCAAGACTTGGATACTTGGTTTAAAGAGCAGGTAAATGAAAGGTGGCCAGACTCCCCAGAGGTTCAATTCCACGTGGCCCCCATGCTGATRCCTCTGCCTATGCTTGGTCTCACAGTCAACGGCCCTATCCCAAGAGACAGCCAGTCCAGCTGCTGTGCAGGGCAGCCCAAGTGACATCCACGAGCTGAGGCGCACTTTCCAGGCCCTAGAGATTGACCTGCAGACACAGCACAACAGGGTAAGTGGGAGCTAGGAAAACCTGGGTCCTGCACCACCTCCTCCTCAAAGTCTTCCTCCACCTCTCTCCTGGGCCCCAACACCCCCACTCCCCTTGGGACATCTCTCACTCTCTACTCTCCATCCAAATTGTTCACGATGARAATGATAATAAGAGCTTCATTTATAGTGTGCAGATGGTGCCAGATGTCAGGCTAGGTGCCTCATTATTTTAAGTGTTGTTAATCCTCACATTAGCCTTTCTAGGTAGGTCTTAGCATCTCCATTTTAGAGACCAGGAAGCCAAAGCTCTAGGCAGTTAAGCAAGTTGGCCAACAACTCGTAAATTCACCGTGGTGAAACCACGTGGTGTTAGAAGAATAGGGACTCTAGATCCCCAAAATCTCTATCAGTGCTCTCTCCACTTAGAACCAGGCTAACCCCCCCCAACTCTAATACAGAGAAATTCCAATGCCAACATGATAGGTCKCAAATCCAGGCTTGGCAACTCCAAAGTACTGCTCTATTCTTTATGTATTTGTCTTATCACCCAGMAAACTATAAGTTACCATGTCTAAGTCATTTCTATCACCTTTATAGTTKCATAAAATGCATTGTAAGGGGGGTCATAATCGTTCAATTCTATGATTCCCTTCATAGYCTACTGAAATCTGATCATTCATCAATATAACTCCCGAGTGCCATTCTCTTCTCCGTCTTAAGAGCCCATACTTAGTTCATTTGTCTCACAGGTGCACATGGTAAATGAAGTCACGTTTTATGAATCAGTGATGGTGAGCRGACCCTAAAAATAGCCACTGTTGAGATGACAATAATGAGCTCAGCAGTATGTGGGGCATAGTGTTTTGCAGTTTTCTAGACAATTTAACCCACATCATTTCACCACAACCTCTTGAGGTCAGAGAAGCATTTAGACCATTGTCATGCGTTCTCCTATCTGATACTGTTTTAAAATCTGAGGACTTGGTAATGAAGGAGTCAGCATCCTTCATCCAGACAATAAATGGGCAAATCATCAAAATAGGTACTTGTGAGGTGGAAAAAAAATCTCAACAATGAAATGAAGCATGCTAGATGTGGCAGAGAAGAAAGCTGCCATTTTAAACAAGGTGGTCATGAAAGGTTTTACTGTTGGGTGACAGGCTGCACAAAGGCCGGAAAGACATAAGGAGGTGGTTTATGTATCGACGGGATGGGGTTAAGGTCAGTATTCCAGGTGAAGGGAACAACAAACGCCGAAGACACAAATATGTCCTATAGGTTGGAGGAACAGTGGAGAAGTCAGTGTGGCTACTGGGACTGAATGAAAGGAAGAGAAGAGAGAATTAAGGGAGTAAATGGGAGAAGGGCAGAAGGGAGGGGAGGCCATGGCATCACGATGGCACCTGGACTTTGTACGCTACCTTGGAGCAGGACAGACAGGAATTCAATTCAGCTAGTATAGGCAACTCTTTGAAGAACTTTGCTGTAGGTAAAGAACAACAGAAGAATAGTATAGGACACTTGCATGAGTTTGGATGGTGGTTGGAGACAGATATCTGAAATAAGGTGAGAATAATCGAACAGAACAGAGAATAGCATCTAACATGCAAGATGGYGGGCCATTGCGGAGATCATGGAGCACAAGTAGTTCATGCATCACAACAGGAGGAAAGTGAGTCCCTGGACACAGATTCAAGTTTGTGGTTGGTGGTAACGGCAGGAGACTCTGGGAGTGCTCTCCTGAGTGCTTTCATCTCCTCAAGGATTCTGAGAGGTGAGTGAGTTCATGGACTGAAAGAAAGGTTGAGAGAAGGGAGGTTTGAGGACAGAGAAGAAGGAAGGAAATAACGCTCTGGGAGGAGACAGAGTGACTACACTAGAAACCTATGGTTTCTTATCCAGGCAGCATTAAGGGCCCCCTGAAAATTAAGCAGCCATTAAAGTGGGAGAATCCAATGCAGTTACAATTTTCTCTTCAAGATTAAACTTGCTCCGGAAAAGCAGGTATTAAATCCAAACAGAAAATAGACTTGAGTTCGGTCTTTCATAACCTGGCCCAGAAACTTCATTCTGCAGTTCTGGAATTTCCTCAAAAATGATAATTTTTTTACCACTGTGAGAATCAGAAAGCATTACTTGAGAYCAAGGTTATTAGATATATCAAGTTAAAATATAGGACACTTCAATTACCTTGAATGTTAGAAAAACACAGGTTTTTACTATGTAGAAGCTTGTCCCATGTAATATTGCACCAATATTTGGGAAATGTTCATCCAAAAGCGTTATTTATTGTACATCTGTAATTTGAACTTGACACCATCACCCCTCCAGGAGKGCAGGGGACTGGCCAGGACCCCCTGGTAAAATGATTTTATGGACAGAAAATGACTTCAGGAGTCCCAACACCCAAGCCCCAAACCTGTAAGTCWACCTGACTCTCACCTCGGTGTCCCCAGCATCTACCAGGACACCTAGCAGACTGGTTGACATATGCTAAATACTCAACAGGCCCACGCTGATRGACCTATCAAGCCATCAGCCAGTTAGCAAAAGAACTATCATTTCCTCTTTCAGAAATCTGCTTTGGAAAACATGTTGTCGGAGACCCAGTCTCGGTACTCCTGCCAGCTCCAGGACATGCAGCAGATCATCTCCCACTATGAGCAGGAGCTGATGCAGCTACGCCATGACCTAGAGCGTCAGAACAGTGAATAYAAGGTGCTCCTGGGCATCAAAACCCACCTGGAGAAGGAGATTACCACCTACCGCCAGCTCCTGGATGGGGAGAGCAACRGGTGAGGCAAAGGCTGGCGGGAGACGAATGTGCAAAAGGCCTGTGGTACCCGCATGTGCAAATGTGTGGGCACATGTGGCTTCTGTCAGCAATGGTCACTCTAGAGGAAAAGGGMTAATGCTGACTTTTTCTAGAAGATACCTATGTTCTAGATACCTAGGTTCTGTTTTATTAAGCAACAAATGGGAACTAGTCAGTAATGCTCCCTGGGTGCTAAGATTTGCATTCAGAACAGTTTAAATGAGGATGTTGAAGTCTCTAGGGGGAAAAAAAAAAAAAAAGACATGGTTTGGACTATTGTGTTTCCAGGTGGGAAAGCACACATTTTTGGCTTAAAAGGACAGGAGAGGGAAGGGAGAATGTTTCAGTCTAAAAGCAGGAAAAGATTGATAAGAGAGAGAGAGAGATCTAGATTTGCAATCTGATGTGTCTGGCAGAGCCAAGAAATAATAGCTGAACATAAAAAGGGCACATACAAACCAGGCAGAGTGGCACACACCTGTAAGCTCAGAACTTAGGAGGCCGAGGCAAGAGGATCACAAGTTCAAGGGCAGCCAGGGCAACTTAGTGAGACCTTGTCTCAAAAATGAAATAAAATGGGCTGGGGATGTAGCTCAGATTGAACTTCTGGGTTCAATCCCCAGTACTACAAAATTTAAAGGAAAGAAAGAGAGAGAGATACATTTTATTACCCCCCACCACCATCCAAAAAAAAAGGGGGGATTTTCAAAATACATAAATAAAATGTCATTGGACTAAACTGTCCAGTCTGAGAAGTTCAAGGGTCCTGGCTTGAGACTCTGTAAGAGACCCTGGTGGAGGCCAGGACTTCAGCAGGCTGAAAGGAGGGAGGAGATGGTTTGGAAGACTTGKCCAGACCCCAGGGTTGCGGGGAGGCAACTGCCTTCAGGATGGAGGAGGGTTCTCACGTGAACTCATGACCCTGAGACTGTGGAGCTCAATTACCTTCATCAAAGAGCTGAGAAGTTACACGCAGGCAACGGAAGTTGGTTCATCCCAAGGTTTTATGACCACTATTAATACTAATGGGAGCTTTAACCTTTCTCACTTTAACAGGATGATGGAAGAATCRAAATCCAGCATGAAAGGTAAAAAGAATTCTTTCACTGTTTGAATTTGCTTTTTTAAAATGCATCTGTGTGTTTATCCGTTCTTTAAGATGTCATGATCCTCAGGTATATTCCCAAGTGTCCTGGGTTCAACTTTTATTTGGCTCCCAAATAGCCAGGAATTATCAAAGAACTTAACAATTTAAGTAATACAGAACAAAGGGAACTCTCAAAGGGATGCTCAATCTGTATATGCAAAGTTCTTTATAAGCAGTGAAGTAGAGTAAAAGGATAATTAAGAGTATTGTATCTCTGTTAAGTAATGGAGTCTGTTTATTAAACTCCTAGGAAATTAAGACATCATTTGCCAAACTCACTTCTGTTGAACATTAGTGCTCTGTGAGGTTTGAATAGTTTATTATGAAAGACATGTTCTACGGCCAGATAAGGTTGGGCATGTTATGCACCCCATCACCCTCTTCTTGAATAGTCAGGTTGCATTTCAGTATGTTAAAGATGGGACAGGGACTGCTGTGAGGGGAAAAAAGGAACAAGGAAGAAGAAGAAGAAATATCAAAAAGGTTTGCTTTAATTCAATAGTCCCAAACATCTTTGACTTGGAAACCCTATTTTCTCAGATTTTCATTAACACCTCACAGAAAAGTTTCAGGACTGCCCAGTCTGCAGCAAGTGGCAATTTCTAATTGGTTCATGACAAAATTGTTCTAAGATGTGAGCAATTCCTTAGAGTTGGACTAACCATYTCAGAACAGCTAGTCTAATGGCTGCCCTTTGGCAATATTTGATAGAGGGTCCTTCAGCCTCTCCTTACGCACATCCAGGGATGGGAAACTCRGTACTTGATGGGATAACCCAATCTGCTGTAGGAAAAGTTTGATTTTAGCAAAAGTTTCRGGTGTGTCTCTATTGAGAATTTCAGCTATTCCCAGTGGTCTAGAATTGCTTTATTGAAATGTCAATGAGGTACTTATTCAAATAAGAAATAGCTTTGAAAACAGTGGCCACGATACACAGCCCTAGTTTCTCACCAGTGGTATCAGGTGGCATGCTACCTAAAATGCGTATCCCAAAATGACATTTAGTGCTCTGTAAACTTGCAGAGTCTGTACAGTGAGACAAAACCTGCACAAACAGAAAGCACTCTTCAGGTGCTCATGGCCAGAGACGAGCTTCCGTATCAGGTACACGCAGGATGAAAGTCCTGATTTCCAGAGAATGATATTGTTCCCAGAAGGTGGAGGGAAAATCCTCCTTGGGGAGATCCCTGTTCACTGCAGCAGAGCCCACCATATTGTTTAGTGATTATTTTGGAAGGCACAAGGGATTGCATGCAGGGGAMTGAAAATGAGTATAGTTCAAATGGGGGAAAAACATGGCAGTAACCTCTCCGGTGCTCTCTCCTTCAGCATCTACAGCTCCAAAGATCAAGGCCATCACCCAGGAGAGCATCAATGGAAGAATAGTTCTTTCTCAAGTGAACGAGATCCAAAAGCATGAGTGAAACCAATATAATTTCTGCCTGTTGTAAAAACTATTTCCCCCCTATGGAAAGCCCTTACCTAGACACTAATGGGTGAGTCTTAAAAGGTATCCTTGGAGTTATCAAAACTTTTTTTTTCTCCTCATAATGCTCTTGATATACTGTTGAACTTTTCAAAACAAAATATGAGTTTGCAAGATAAAAACTCTGCTTTCCTAACTACGGTCTTCAGATTCCCATCAATGMGCCAATAAAACTCCACACAAGTTGCATCCTGTCTTTTCTTATGTCCCAAGGYAAGATGAGACCTCAAGGTCTAGTTCTAACAAGAGGTTCTCAGTGCATTGAAAGATCCATGGAGGATCTTACCATATCTGATGTGTCCTCAGTCCTCAGCAGCCAAACTCCAGGCAATATTGTTACCCTGAATCTGGGCAGCCCAGGAAGGAGAGGTTGTTCACAAGGTTCACCAGGCTCTGCCAGCAGACAATGAAGGAGAAATAGAGAAAGGAGGTCCAGAAAAGTTTACCGAGAGCGTGAGATGACCAAATATTATTCTATCTCACCTTTAAAAGAAGAAAAAGAGCTGAATGACCTAAGAAAGAATGGAAGCTATGAAAGGAGATTGGGGATGAGGGTGCCTTGTTACAGATAGACATTAAAGCAGGGACTCACTCAAGATCTAAGTTGCAAATATAAGGATCTAGAGCATTATGTTGAGCTGGATCCGTTYTGAGCTACAGACTGGACCATGTACCTCTGTCCTCTGAGAAGATGCCACCTTCTCCAATTCTAGGAGTGTGGGCCACTACTCTGAATTTGTAGACAGGAGCACTGCTGGGGAGAAGGAAGTGGAAATCCACATAGCCTTTAAGACAGTCAGAATATTGTCCATGGAATCACAAGGATATTAACCACTTAGGAGACCATAGGCACAGGTTAGTCAGAATCTCCCATTTTATAGGCAAATATACTGAGGTTTAGAACAGTAAAGTTGTTTACCCAAATACTGGCTTGGTGCTGCTGGGTCTACATTCTTTGCTCCTCCTGCAGTTATTAATCTAAAAGCGAGCGTAGTCTAGTTCCATTATCATCTAACACATCTTAAAATCCATGTCTCAATACTCTGTTTGAAAGGGCTGYGTTTGGTATTTCCTGAACTGGGCATCTGTTAAAACTGGATTCATCCTCCCTTGAAGACAACAACTGGTATTTCTTATCCCTAATACTCAAAAGAAAAGMAGCCCCTAACAAACTCATGTTGAGCAAAAGGAACCCAGGATAATTACATCATTGCAAAAATGTGTCTTTGATTGAACTAAAATGTGTAAATTCCCTGGTGTAAAATTATATTTATTTATATTTACTGTGTGGCCATTTCAAAGAGGATCGAATATAACAAATACACAAACATGATTTTTCTCTGTGCAATATTTGTCTGCAGTAACTTTTGATGTTATTTGGGGGTAAGAATGGACCCAAATTAGACTTCATTAGTTCACTACTTCTATTTTACTTGACTAAAAGAACTTCTTTAGATTGAGAAGTTACAAAAGTTTCCAAGAAGATCTAAAAATTAATTTTTCTCTATTTTAGCACTCACTTATTCTACTATTTTGGATGTTATTATCGCTTTCTTAAAGTCCAGAAAATGTGCATAAAATATACAGTTAGCCCTCAATACTCTCATACTGCACATGCATAGATTCAACCCAAACACAGATAGAAAAAAAAATGGATCTGTACAGAACATGTACAGACTTTTATGTCTTATCATCATTTCCTAAAAATATAAAGCAGCTGTTTACACAGCATTTACATTGTGTTAGGTATTATAATTATCTGGAGATGAGTTAAAGTGTGTAGGTTATATGGAAATACTGTGCCATTTTATATAATGGACTTAAGCTTCCACAGAGTTTCGGCATTCACCCTGGAACTAATCCGCTGCAAATACCATGGGATGGCTTCACATACTCTCCTCAAGGTGAAGTGTGAGCGTTACTACAAAAATCCCGTGGAGAATATTAAAAAAGAATTTGACAAACTAAAGAGAAAGTTATAATTCCAGAACCAGAACACAATCAATAAGCTTCCATTTGCAATCATAATTTATGTATGACTTGGTAATAGCAAACCAYAACATGAATAGTTTTCATTCAATGACCAAAATCTTCTTAAGGTCTTACTATTAATTTTCATTGTATCAATTAAATCATCACAGTTTTTCTCCGAAACTCATCAGTCTCAGCAAAGTGGAGTGGTGGTCACCCTATTGGTAAAGACTTGCCCCTATTTCTCTAAGGAGAGAGACGCAGAGAGAAATTAAACCACTTAAATACAGAGACAATTGTGTGAACTTTGGCTCTAGGTAACCTAGAATAACCTTTTCCCATGTTTAAATCAGCCCAAAATAAAATCTTTCAAAATACCCATTACAAATTGATTAAAGCTTGTATGTTCAGGTAAGTTATCAACCAAAGAAGTTTCTGTTTATATTTGGTTTTAACAAACATGCACCCAACCCACATAAAGGAGATGGTAATAAATTCTATTGTTTTCATTCCAGATATACTTTGAATAAATAGCAATTATCCTTCTATGAGCCAAAACCCAATTAAACAAATAATGGGATAATCTAGAGAAGTGTAAAGTATTATTACTTTGGAATTTAATGTTTATGTCAACATATTTACCTACAGTGCTTGGATCCATCTGATATTGCTCAATCCAATGAAATATATGCCTTTATAGATTATTATAAATAATATCCGGCATATTATTTTTACATACCTACCCTGTGGAAGACATGTGAAATTGGGAACTAAACTTTATAAAAATTCATTATTAAGGGAGATAACAGGAAGGAGCTCAGGGGATTTCTTCAACTCAGGAGTTCTCACACTTGGCTCCCCTAAGGATCACCTGGGGAGATGAAAATTCTAATTCCCAGGTCATAGTCTATGCCAATAAAATCGAGATTTTTTGATGGTTGGGGCCCAGGCATTAATATAGTTCAACATAGATTCTCAGGACCTGGATTTGATCCCCAGTATTGGAAAAAAATTTTCACAATTAATAAGTTTGAAGTTTGGGGACCTACTGCTTTACTTGCTTCAGGTAAGTGCCTTTTCTTTTTTCTTGTTATGTTTTTCATGTTCCTAATCTTTTAATGGTTCCCATAAGAATTAATAAAACTAAAAGAAAAATTTAAAAAATCTCTGTCACATCACTCTCAAATGCTTGAGTTTCATTTTATAGAATTATAGAGAATTGATTCCAGGAAATACAGCTAGTAAAATTTAGAAGTSAGACAAATRGAGCCAGGTGTGTTGATGCACACTTGTAATCCCAGCTACCTGAAAGGCTGARGTAGGAGAATCACAAGCTCAAGGCCAGTTTAGGCAACCTAGGGAGAACTCTATCTCAAAATAAAAGGAAAATAATTTAAAGCTCAAAGAAGTAGGACAAATACTTCACTTACCAAAAGTATTTCACAAAACTCTGCAAACATACTTTGACCTAATTTTAGCAAAATATCTTCCACGTACATAATCAAATATTTGGTCAAGATGTTGCTTTCCTATAATCATTTTCTATGATGAAAATTTCCTGTGTTGTTTTAGCCTCCTCTTAGATTGTTTTCACAGCAAGGTAAATAGTAACATTTGCAAATAAGAAACTATTAAGGAATACATCTCTAACCCAAGTGACTAAAATAATTAATTTGGGGAATATATAAGAAATTATTTCCTTAAAGAAATACCAGGTTGTTTAATTATTTCCCAAATGCATATTTTATATTTCTCTAATAGTGCATTCAGGCTTCACATGTATTTTTTAAATGTTGACATTAAAAGAAAATGTAAGGCTGGGGATAYAGCTCAGTTGGTGGAGTACTTGCCTTGCATTCACAAGGCCCTGGGTTCAATCCCCAGCACCACAAAAAAAAGAAAGAAAGAAAGAAAATGTAGACATCAACTTATTGAACCTTCTTGTTTGAGAGATGAAGGGCTAAAACATAGAAAGATTAGCTAAGCCCTAACTCCATTCCAGCATCTTCAGGACATGAAGATGGAAACATCAGAATTGGGTGGGGGGAGGGGGTGGATAAAAAGCATTATGTGTTTTTAAAAACTCATAGCAAATTAAAAATAACAATTCCAAATGTATGAACTATTGAAAAGTCCCAACAAGGTATGTACTCCAGCTGAAACCAATAACTGCAAGAATAAAATAAGCCTGGGGTAAGTACTAAAGATTGAATTGTTTTTGTTTTCTTTACAGTTGGTCTTAACATAGACTAAATTTAACATATGGTCAGTCTTTAAAAGTTTATTTTATGTGAAAGAGTATAGCAAACCATTTTGGGGGATAAAATAACATAAATCCAATAATATTTTAAGGACATTAAGCAACATTATACCATATTTACACATTTACCTATTTAATCTTTAACAATAGAAAATGGCACTAAATAATAGCATTATTATCTGAGTATGCCATAGATATTGATGGCCCCAATGAATCCATACCATAAGTATTTATGCCCTTCTGTGCAATCCCACCCAAATTTTCTCTGGGTTTGAACATGTGACCTGATTTGACCAATGAAAATCAGAAAGCAGGATATAATCAGAGGCTTAATAAATGCTTGCAYATTGGTATTTCTCCTCTTAGAATGCTCCCTCTATAAGGCCAACTTCCATGCATGAAGTTCAATTACCCTGAGACCACCATACTGTGAGGAAGTCCAAGCTAGCCTCATGGAGGGGCCACATAAAGAAAAGTTGAAAAACCAACCTATAGCCATAACTGAGCCTCCAGACACATGACCCGGGTCCAGCCATTCCAACTAGTTCTCAGTCATGAAAACCAAAAATCTGAGGCCCCAGACATCATGGAGCAAACATAAGCCATCCTTAAAATCCCAAATCTGAAATTCTGATCCTCAGCAATGTGAACAAATTGGTTGTGTTAAGTCAGTAAATTTGAGGATAGTTTCTTATGTAACAGGGAAT